TGAGATTTTAGCTCTGAGCTCTGACCTCTCGGCTTTCTCTTTTACATTGTTTCTGTGTTTCTTATTTAATAAGACGGTTGGTTACATCTACACACATCTTCAGCACCCCACAGCTATTCTTATTCAATGACACAACCTGACATTTCCATGCCCACCTCTCCTCTCACTGGCCTCTGTAGACCTCTTCTAACCACCTCTGGTACAATCCCAGCAGAACCAGTCACTACACCTCTGCCACCACCCTTATTTCTAGGTGTAACGCCTACAGTTCCTCATGACACCAGGTTATGGGACTGTCTCAACTGGGCTGTAAGAACCAGGATCGCGATCATATCCCAGGTCTTCACTTCACTAAAGTTTAGCAAAATGTCTGACTGTGGGCCCCGTAAATGTTCAATGAATGAATAGATGGCCGGCCAGCTAGAAAAGCAGGTATAAAGCACATGTGCATCAGTATCCAGGCTCCCTCTATTCTGTGAGTCCGACACTTGCCTGCTTCTTCAGGCCCTGAAGCAGGTAGTAGAGGCCTGACGGCAGAGGAGGAAGACATGAGAGAGCAGAAACCGGGTCCAACCTCATCCCATGATTCCTGTCCTGCTTCTCAGCTTGCTGCCCACGGCGAGTGGGAGCCAATGCTTACAGTGTCCACCCATGCCTGCGCTCAGGTTCAAAATAAGCAATGCTGACTTTATGAGGCTGTGGATGCGGGCCTGGGGATGCCCAGGAAATGCCCAGGTGTGCATCAGCCATCTAAGGTGCTTCCAAGACAGTGGTGTACCCTACCTACACCCTAGAGCCAGCTAGGGAGTCATTTAAAGACTGGAGCCAGTCTTAGGCCCTCACCCAGATCCTGAGGAAGAGCATAATAGGTGTCACGTCGAGACTGCAGGCAATGGCTAGGAACCAACCTGCTGAGAGACCTACAGACCTGGGGGAGTGGAGTCTGACAGCCTGAGAGCCCTGACATCCACACATGCGCTGTAACACACACACTTCCTCCCCCAAATAATACTTCCTCCCCCAAACAATGATTCTTTAAAAACTCTACATTTTAGAAAGTCTTAAAATGGAAAACCTATCAATTTTCTAATCCCGAATACTTCACGATGATATAAATACATCATCATTACCAAATTCTTAGTAAAAATTCATCAGCTGAAAAAGTCATAACAAAGCTCAAGTGTTTATTAAGAATTAAAAATACTGTAAATAAGCCATACAGTTCATTTCACAGTAAACTAACAAACCTTGTTTTTCTTTTCAGCTTTTTTTTTTTAATTTTTCTTTTCTTCTTTTTTTGGGGGTGGGGTGAGTGGGAAGGGCAAGGCAGCCATTGAAGAAGGACAGCTCTGAGGGCACGGGACAGCAACAGTCACAGAAATGCAGCACACATGGTCCTCACTGACAGACAGGCCGGGCGACAGGAGACTCGCTCAGGAACACTGTGACAAAACAAAAAGAGCCGGCTCACCGCCCCAGGGAGGTGCCCACATCCTCTGTGGGAAGTACAGCTCCGAGGATGGCAGACACAAAGGCCTCCCCTCTGGGATTCCAAACGTCCTCGGTGACCCCTCCCCTACTGTGGCGGCACAGGTGGGTCACCGGGAGGTAAGGAAGGGCACCTCCCGGGGCGGTTTTCACACTCAGAACCTTCTGAATTTGCATAGTTGCCTTGGATATCACTAGACTCAGGGACAGAAAGGGACCCCGCCTCTGGAAGTGACCCTCAAGCAGAAGGCTCTGGGGCCCTGGCCTCCTCCCATTCAGAGCTCACATCTGTGGTTCTTACCAGTTCCAAGTGGAAGACAAGAGACATAAAAACTCGGGCCGAGAGTATAAAAAAAGTGAAATTGATTTTCCTTAAGGACAATTAACGTGCCTCCCCCTGCTGTTGCTGTGCTTCACCACAGACCCGTCCGCCAGACAGGATTTCTTTATTTCTTTTTTTTTTTTTTAGGTTAATCTGCTCCCTGTCAATCCCCAGTTAAAGCCACTGTGGTCTCCCTGACAACAGACACCTTTCTGCACAGGGCTGGGCCTTCAGGAAGCTAAACCAAAGGCAGAAACAGGATTTCAGAACCCAAGGGTGTGTGGTAATAACTGCAAATAAATTAACCGGGCACAGAGCACCACGCGGTCATGCTCAGATGCTGTCTCCTGCTTTTCGTGGGGGAAGGGGGAAGAGGCTGGGGGGAGGGTCCCTGGGAGGGAACAATGATTTTGTTTTGTTTTGTTTTGTTTTTTGGTCGTAAGAAACTGGACTATAAATGTGTGCCCCGCACAAGCAGTTCATTTAGATGTTTTCATGGATCTTTTCAACTTTCACAGACAACCTATCCAGATCATTCCTCAGGTCATCCAGCAAGCCCTTGGCTGATTCCAGGTTGTTTTCATTTGTTTCGATCTTGACGGAGTAGGCAACCAAGCTGTCCACGGCAGTCCTGAGCATTTTCAAGTCTGACTCCACTTGGCTCACTGAGGATTTCAGGTTGTCTAGAGAGGAGAGTCTATCCAGGAAGTCCTGGGGAGGCAGGCCCGTGGCCCGGGCGTGGTCCTGGCCGAGCATCGAGTGCACCTGTTCCTGCAGCGACCCCACTGTGTCGGGGAGTTCACCCACACTTCGCTGCAGCTCCTTCACTTCGCCGGCCAGCGTCAGCTGGACCTCCCCCAGGCTCCTCACCGTGCTGGCCAGCTCAGAGGAGGACCCCAGGCTCTCCAGGTGCTCCTGCAGCACAGCCAGGCGCTGCTCGTACTCCTGGCTCTTAGACAGGAGGGACTCGAGGCTCTCCGTGTGGCGAGCAGAGGCCACCTGCATGGAGTAGACTCCATCCTCCACATACTGGAGCCTGGCACCGAGGCCCTCGATCTGCCGCTGGAGCTCATCTAAGGCTTTGGAGTCTTTGAAGACGGTGGCCTCCTCTGCCCCATGGGCCTCGGCCTTCAGCTGCTGCAGCTCTTCTTCCAGTCTCCTGATGTCCTCCGGGAGGCGAGAGGAGGACTCCTCAGACCGCAGAAGCTTCTCGGTGAGGGCCTCCAAGGCCAGGCGCTCTGAGTCAGCTGCCTGCTTGAACGCCTGCTGTTCCTGCTTGAGACTGACGAGCTCCCGGACCTCTGTGTAGACATCCGATTCCATGGTCTGGAGGGAACTCTGCAGGGCCTCAATGTCCCTCTCCCTGGACTTCACAGAGGCCTGGACCTCCTTCAGGGCCTTCTCCAGGATTTTCAGGTCCTGACTGCGATCGCCCTTGGATTCTTCCAGGGAGGCAACCTTCATCTTGACGTCATTTATCTCCTTCTGGCTCCTCTTCTGGACATCGGTGAAGATGGCGATGTTGTCATTGATGGACTTGGTGAGCTCCGTTAGGCGCTCCTCCACCGTGTTCTCCAAGGATGTGAAATCCCGCTCCCGGGCATCCTTGACCACATGGATCCCGTCCGACAGATCTTTGAGAATCTCATTCTGCAGCTTCTGCAGGACTTCGCTGATACGGTTCATCTCGCTCTCCCCCTGCTTCACAGCTTTCTCTGTGAGGTCCTGTTTATGCTGAGAACTTCTCAAGATGGACTCGAAAGTCCCAAATGTGGCTTGCAGAGACTGTACCTAGAAGCAAGATCCAGAGGTCAGCCACAGAGAGCAGTGTTTGGCGTGTCTGTACACATTACCGCGGTTCTCTGCACTACCTGCTGTATCCTCCTTGCCAGCACGCTCCTCTAAGGTAGTTACACGGTGGTTGTAACCAACTGCAGGGTCCCTCCAGGTACTTCAGAGTCGGCTCGTTACCCAACCTGACCAGTCAACACAGTCCGTCTGCCTCTCTCAATCCCTACCTCTCAGTTGACATGACGAGCCAGGGACGGACAAGCGGTAGACAGGCTGATGAGGTGGCAACACCTTTTCCCACTGGATGAGGGAGGCCTGGAGCTGCTCAGACCAGCATGTGGCCAATACCCACCCATCAATCAAGACAGCACACAGGGAGACAGAGCTGAAACAAGGCCAGATCACATTCGGAAGCCGTAACCTACTCTTGAGCTTTCTATCAATCAGAGCATTTCCACCCTCCAATTCTCTCTTCTCTCTTCCCTCCCTCTCTCTATTTGAAGGATGGCTTTCTAACTCTTGCAACTGAGCACCACACAGTTTCCTAGGAAAGAATCTGAGGCACACGGAGACACTTGGCACAAAGTGTAGAGACCAAGGGCAGGTCTATGCTGGTGTGGTCTCTGGCATGTCACTGTCTTCCCTGGACTTCAGTGCCTCACTTAAAAACACAAGCAGTGGGGAGGCATGCAGACCCGAGAGCTGGATGGGCCAGCGCTCTCTGTGCCGGGACCCTGAACGGTGGAGGTGGACCGAGCAGAGCTCCAGAGGACACCGCTGGACTGCGATACACCTTCCCCAGACCCCGCGACCTACCTTTCCCTTTTTGTAAGTCACCCACTAAATAAATCTTCCTTTTTACTAAAAAACACACACACAAGCAGTGGGCCGGATGATTCCTTAGGACACTCTGGCCTTATGAGCACACTGTGACTTTCTTTGCTGCTATACATCCATTCTACATAAACTCCATTCTGAATTACGTTCAATGGGGGCCCTCGGAACGCGCTTGTCTAACACACTGAGAGGCTGTGCTGATCAAACAGCTAGGCCTTATTCTCATGTGAAACCTGTACCATTTGGTGGGGGGAAAATTAAGGAAAGAAGAATAAGAAGGCCAGCAGTGTGGCCTTGACTCTGTAAGTCCCTAGGTTCAACTCCCCATTTCTGGAACACATAAAAGAGACTCACTATGATGTCATGAGGTTGTCACCAGCTAAATCCAAAGTGTGGCGGGTTCTGTAGGATAAATGATGTCATTAATAGTCAACAATTAAATGTATTTTTAAAGGAGGGAGGAAGACATTCTAGATTAAACTAAATTTCAGAGTTTTCAGGAGCTGGAGAGATCGCTCAGTGGTTAAGAGCACTGGCTGCTCTTCCAGAGGACCTCCGTTTAATTCCTGTCAATCACATGGCTGCTCACAATATCCTTAACTTTCGTGCCATAAGATCTGATGTCCTCTTCTGGATCCTCGGGTACCAAGCATGCACACAGTGTACGTGCAGACACAACACCCAAACACACAAAATAAAAATAAATCTTGGGGTGATTTTCTCAATTTAAAAACAGTACAAGCATGTGAAATCAGGGGCACACACACACACACACACACACACACGCACGCACACGCATGTGTGTGTATATATGTGTATAGAGAGAGGCTGTCACTGTGACTGGGCTGATAGCTTAACTGGTAGACTGCTTATCTAGCCTTCACAAGATCTAGATTCCAGCCCAAGCACTTAATAAATTGGGTCTGCAGCACACGCCTATAACATTGGCACTCAGGAGGCAGAAGCAGAAAGATCAGAAGTTCAAGGTCATCCTAAGCTACACGGTGAGTCTGAGGCTAGCCTAGACTACAGGGAATGGACAGAACAAGGCAGGCTCCGGAGCCAGACTGGGTAGGCAAATCTCAGGTCAACGCTTTGCTGCTGTCGGATCTTGAAGTTACACGGTCTGTCTGTGTAACAAAGGGGTGGGGGGCGAACAAAAATAGCACCTGACTCACAGGATCGTCACACGAGAACTAAATGAGTTCAAACCCATCAAGTGCTCAGCTGTGCCTGACTCGTGGATGCTCAACGCACCGCCGCTACCGTCTTCATCCTGGCTAAGCTCTATCTTAAATTCCTCAGAAGCTCAGGAGTCCTAGCAGCACCTTCCACTCAATGCCAAACGTGGAGAAACTGAGACCACCACAGGGATGCAGACAGGATACCCGAGCCCAAAAGCATGCCCACCATGCTCCAGGAACTCAAACTCATATTCACTTCCCAAGTCCCAGGTTGTTAGCAAATGGGGGGGGGGGTCTCTCAAGTCTCTATCTCCATGCATGGGTGATTGTTTAAGGTAGAATTAGCATGGGGGATCCAGAAAGCAGACAATATCCCTCCTCAACCAAACACGGCCAGAGACATAAGAACACCGTGAGGAGGCACTAGAGAGAGGTGACCTCTAAAACTAGGTTAGTAAATCACAATGCCTCCCTGTTCTAAGCATCGCACTTCAAACAGAAGCACGGGTGAGTGGCCGAGCCCAGCACCTGCTCCGTGGCAGGCACTTTCAGTGTTTTCTCAATGGACCAAAGGATGGAGGGATTCAGAGCAACGCCTGGTAGAGCTGGGGGGGGGGGGGCTAGTCCCTATTCAGTACCAGGTTGGCTCTTTACAAATGGCTAGGAAGTGATTTCGATCAGAAACCCTTACCAACCCCCAAAAGGGACCCAGTGTCTCCCCTCCCGAGGGCATTGTAGGATGTCCATCTTTATGCACAAAGAGTTTATAACAATTAATATGCATTAGACATCTGTTCTTCTGGGCTGTGTGGGATGTCCACTGTGTGGTAGGTGATGGGTAAAATGCCAGAGACAAAATACTAGCTAGACCTCATCTCTGCCTTCAGGAAGCCTTGCTGGGGTGAGGATGGACAGACTGATTACCAATGGCTGACAGTCAGCGGAGCACTTAGTGTGCACCAATAACTACACAGAGCGTAAGTGGTGGAGCCCCGCAGCAGAATCCCAGGATGTCTGACTTCAGGACCGAACTATTCCAAAGGAGGCCTAGAGGGCTGCCACCACCGAAAGCAAGCCCTGGCTCCTCTTCACAGAGCCCAGATGAGAAACAAGACAGCACAGACAGAGACTCACTCTCTACCAATAGCCAGTCTTCTCACAAGCTGCCCCTACCAGCCTGAGCTACTTCTGCTTTATGAAGCCTTGGGATGGACCAGGGCACCGGGGGCTTAGCTAGGGCTGTCGCTGAGCTGCCCACATGTGCTGAAGCCCTGGACGTCCTACAGTCCTGTGGTATAGGCAGTCACATATTAAGTGGATAATATACATGATACGTTAAATAGTAGCTTCTTAACACCATTAACTCTTCTCGAGGGCGGTCACTACTTCAACAGCTTCGGAGGCAGGAGGATTCCCGCAAAGCCGGTGCACGGGTGTGCATAGTACATGTGAATGTGCTGCGTGGTGTGGATGCACACACGTGTGCAGGCCACAGGTGGACACTGCTCACCACCTTATTTGTTGACACAAGGCTTCTTACTGGAGCTGAAGCACGCTGAGTTGGCTGGACTGGCTGGCTAGTGAACCCCAGAGACATCTTCCTGTCTGTGATCCCCAACACTGGGATTTCAAGCGTGGACCACCAGGCCCAGCTTTTTACATGGGTCCTAGGAATCTAAACTCAAGTCCTAACACTTTCATAGTAAACACTGACTGGGCCATCCCCATCTCCCCTCCCCTAGCCCCAGTTCTTACAAATCTTGATGGCCCAAAGAGGAAAGTGGTTGGCATACAGCTGCAATGGAAAGGAAAGTAAAACCAGGGGAGAGGTGGAAATAACACCCAGTTTCTTCAACCTGGATTCAAGACATCCCCAATTCGGGCCTCAGTTTCCAACATCCCCTGCCACGCTGTCACAGGAAGGCCTTCTGTCCCTCAGGCATGGTCAAGACTGTCCCCTTCCCTGGATGCTCTCCAGACCCTCTCCCAACAGCTCTGACGGCTACACTGTCCCAAGCCCCCAAATACGGACCCAGGGAACCTCACCAGCTCTCCCTTCCCAAAGTGTGCGCAAGTGACCCACCACTCACACCCACTTAGTGTGCCGCTTTGCACGCTTGCTCGGTGCCTTTTTCTCCCCCAAGTCCTCCACAGGCCCACGCAGAGCCACGCAACCATCAGGCTTCGATAAATATTATGACTGATTAGCAGGTGGGTGGCTGGCAGAGGGGAAACAGGAGCTAAGGATCCCACTGCGGCAGGGTGCAGCAGGCACAGCAGAGCTGCTGACTGGACTCCCTCGCCACTTCTCAGGCTGACTCACTCCAGTTGCTCTTCCAGTCTCAAGAGGAAATTCCTGGTGCTGCACACACAACCCAAGCAGAGACTTGGCAGGGCAAGCAGCATGCTGGGAAAAAGAGGCCGTGGTTCCGGGCTCAGAAGTGGCGGGATTTTTTGTTTCCGTCCAGCAACTGAGTTTCATTGAGCAAAACTATGGTGGAGGCCTGAGGGGGCCTGGGAGGGAAGGGGCTACGCTCTGGCTGGAAGGGTGGAAAAACTAAGCCTTCTGTCTCGGGAGTTGGGTTCAGCCATTCCTGAAACAGCTCTCACTAGGGATTCTTCATCACGTGGTGGCCCAGACTTTCTTAGACAATCTGCAACTCAGTCAGTTGGGGGTCTTTGTCAACTCACTTTATGTTTCTAAACCTCAATTTTCTGGTCTGCAAAATGGAGTCAAACATGTCAGTCTTCCCTCCCTCCAGGGTTAACTCTACGAATTAGAAAATTAAATACATGAGTCTACATACCACATAAATGTGACCTGATACCTTTGGCCTTGCGTTTCCTCTAAAGCTAGGCTACTTCAAAGGCCCACATGGGCTCGTTGGTCCAGTTAAGGACAGGGGACCTAAAGATAGACACTATTTCATCTGAACTTAGCAAGTGACTAAGCTCAGCTCACTGGCTTTTCCTTCCCCCAAGCTCTGGGTCTATTAAAAACTGGCTCGGATGACTCCCACTGGCAGAACCGCGGTGAAGCCGTGACCCAAGGCTTCCAGGGATGTGCTGGCTTCTCTTCTCGCCTCCTTTTCAGGCAACTCTGCCCATTCAGCGGTTTCTAATGCAAAAAGAATGGGCTCCGTTGAGCCTGCCGGCCTCCTTACAGGTCACCGCTAATGTCCTGTGACAGGCCCTTGGCCCACCCTCCCCCGATGCCCTGGCCGTCCTCATAGCCTGCTCCATCCCTCTCCAGGACCATTAACAAAGCGGGTCTGGGGCCGCCCTGGCTACTGGGGAGCTGGGGTGCCAGCTCTTGCCACAAGGCCTGGGCAGGGAAAGGACGAGAGCCCCTTCAGGGAGGGCAGGAGTGGGGTCCCGACCCCGCCAAAGCTGGGGTACCCACCTTCTGCTCGACGCCCTGCAGGCTCTGGCCCAGCTCGTCCCTCTGACGGGAGAAGTCCTGGTGGCCACGCCGGACCTGCTGGACCTCCTCCAGGACGTGATGGACACACCAGCCCGAGAAGGCGGCCGCCGCCACCAGGGCGAGGTAGAAGAGAAAGTTGAGCAGCCGGCCGAGCCTGCGCGAGCAGGACGCCGAGGAGGAGGCGGCGGCGGCGGCGGCGGCGGCCGAGGAAAGCATGAGCGTGGCCGCGCTAGCCGTGTCAGTTCCCGACAGCACTGGCGGCTCTCCCGAGGCCGGAGGAGGAGTCGGAGCGGCGGGCGAGGAGAAGGACGCAGCCCCTCAGGGAACGGAGGTCGTTGGGGATAGCGAGGAGGATGGGGACGACGTGTTCGAGGTGGAGAAGATCCTGGACATGAAGTGCGAGGGAGTATGTGGGGGCTGCGCGGCGAGGACGGGGCCGCCGGGCCGGGGCGGGGACGGAGGGGGAGAATCGGAGCGGGGTACGGCACAGCCTAGCGGCGGGGTGCGGGTCCGTGCGCGCTGGTCCAGACGGACGGGGCGGGCGGGCGGGCGGGCGCAGAGTGACATCTCGGGAGGGACCCTGGCCGCGTCTGTGCAGGATGGATGCGGAGGGAAGTTTCACGTGTTGTTTTGGCAGACGAGACGGAGCAGTGGCATGGGATGTGGAGGAGACTAGTAGGGTGCCAGACAGCTGGGGGAGTGGCGGACTTACGTCGTCTTCATCTTTCGGGGATGCGGTCAGGGCCCTTGCTCTCCGTTAGGAAGGACTGGTGGGAACCATACGAGTCGTCGTAGTCCGTCCTTCGCACCGCTGTCTCAATATTTTGTAAAAGTAGAAGAGGCTCCGTGGCTGAAATCCAGGAATTCCTCTTGGTCTTCGCAGTAAAACCCCAATCACACCGAGTGGCTGGGGTGGTAAACGTTTTCGAAACCTGGGCGTCATCCCTTTCTCCTCTGCGCGTTTGTGATTGTAACTCAGATGGAGAGTAAGGTTGAGAGGGAAATCTTAGCACGTCATGCTTGAGCGCTTAGCATCCTCCTCGCCGGCACTGTTGTTCCCAGGAGAAATTCTTACTCTGGTCTTCCAAGTCTCCGGGTCCTTCTGTTGGTGATGCCTTTCTTCCCCCTTCCCTTTCCCGAACCCTGCAGAACAAAATGCTTTCTCATTTCTGTCCTTACGCTCTGTCGAGACCTCTGTTTAAGACATTGTCTTTTCTCTTTATATCTGTCTTGTCTGCTCTGGATTTGGGGCCTATTGAATCTGGGGATGTGGCTTTTATTAATGTTCGAATCATTGATATTTAGTCCAGTAACAGCATTTGCCAGTCTTTTGTTGTTGTTGTTGTTCTCTGGTACTGAGGACTGAACTCAGGGTCTCATGAATGCTAGGCAAGAGCTTTACCACCGAGCTCTATCCCCAGCCCTCGGAATATTAAGTAGGTGAATGAAGTGTGGGCTTGGAGAAAGAAACAAGGACAGTAGGTAAGTATCATACCTGTATGATGTTCTGTTTCTGTTGTGTTTTCTGTTGTTTGTTATCTGCTTTATGCTCTCTTTCATCTGTTTTTTTTTTTTTTTTTTTTTGTCCTTTGACAAACTTTTTTTTAATCAACTGCTGTTTACCATGTACTATGTTGGCTTGATGGTAGAGATTTTTTTTAAGGTGGTGCCTTTCTCTAAGAGGCTCCTTTTTCGTTTTTTTTTTTTTTTGTTGTTGTTGTTGTTTGTTTGTTTGGTTGATTTGTTGGATTGTCGAGACAGGGTTTCTCTGTGTAACAAACAGCCTTGGCTGTCCTGGATCTCACTCTGTAGACCTGGCCTCGAACTCTCAGAGATCCTCCTGCTTCTGCCTCCCTCTTGTTTTTTTGAGACAGGATTTCTCTTTGTAGACCAGACTGGCCTTAAAACTCAGAAATCTGCCTACCTCTGGCTCTTGGATGCTGGGATTAAAGGCTCGTGCCACCACTGTCCGGCCTGATGGTACAGACTTTTTAAAAGAATTTTTTTTACCCTTTATTTTATATGTATGGGTGTTTGGACTGTGTGTATATCTGTGCACCACGTGCCTGTCCAGAGAAAAGGGCATTGGGTCCCCTGAAACTGGAGTTACAGATGGTTTTGAGCTGCCACATGAGTGGGAGTCATCCCAAATCTTCTGGAAGAGAAACCAGCTCTCTTAGCCAGGAAGACTTCGCCTAAGGTTTCTCTCTGCATTCCCCACTCCACACCTCCTGTTTTTTGAGGTAGGATCTTCCTCTGAAGTCCAAGCTGGCCTAGAGCTTGAAACCCTCCTGCAGTTACTGACACAGGAAAATTCTCACATCAATTTCAAGTTAAATCATTGAGATTCAGTGTCATTATTATGGAGCTAGAGAGAGAGGGCAAGAGTTCAAATCCCCAGAGCTCATGTAGTACTGGGTGCAAGTCTGTAATCACAGTGTTCCTGCTGGGAGATTGGGACAGGAGAAGAATTCTGTTGTACTTTCCTGTTGTAGTCTTGAATGACTAGGCAAGATCCAAGACTGAGTTTGTCCTCTGAGGCTAACCTGCAGCTGTGGCAAACCCATGGCTACACAGGGATTCTGGGAACCCAACTAGGATCCTCTGTAAGAGCAATAAGCAGCCTTAACTCTTGCTGTATGTAGCTTCTGGCTCCAGTTTTGGGATAAAAATGTAGCTAGAGTTTTCCTGCCTTGCCCACAGTCAGGACAAATCTTTGTC